CACTTTATTCATGTTATTCCATCTAATCATAGTCGAGATAGCAATTATATCTGTGTCTAATTTGATTCAAATCCATATTAATTGTCTATCATCTTCATCTGCTAATATAATTAAAGAATTAATTTTATTACTAAAACAAAACCCGTGTTATAAACATATCGATGTAATCCAACCTAATTATTCCCACTGATAACGCCAATATTCGTTTACCAAATATCCTCATCGACTATCAATAGTTTGATCCACTTAGAAGGCACTAATAAACCTAATTCGGTTTTAAAGATAATAGGTTACAATGTTCTAATATATAGCTATAGTATGATTTTGTTACTAAGATAAAAGCATCACAAATTATTAAAAATACTAACCTTATTATATATTTGAGGTTTCATAAATTTTTTTTTTAATTTAGAGCTTTTAACTATGAATATTTTTTATATATTTGAAAATAGAGGATGACAAGTCCTTTTTTTTTTATGCAACCTTAAATTTGGGACTAGAATTTTTTGAAAAATCTTATGATATGTATTATTAATCATTTAGAAAGAATGTTAATAAAAGGAAATTTTTTTCACCTAATCAGAACAGTGTAACTCTAATGGAAAAACATATAACTCGGTTTTAATTAATTAAAATTTTCAGTAATCATAAATATCAATTTTACCATATGTTTTGAGGCACTATAAAATGTCTAATATGAGAATATGAATGTTCCGAATGAAAATTACGAAGGAACTCACATATTCAAAATAAAGTATGATAAAAATATAAAATTTTTGATTTAAAACAAAGTATTTTTGATTTTTTTAATAAAATCAAAATAGACTTGTTTAACCCAAATAGTATTTTTGATTTTTTTTAATAAAAGGATGGGATTCTCTTTGACAAACATAGAAATGATAGCTATCATTTTTAAAAAAGAGCTATTTATTTCTTCATAAAGTCTTCTTTTTTTTATTTCTTTTTAAAATTCATCCCCTATTTTTATTTTTCCAAAATAACCATTATAATTCGAATAATACCTAAAATATCTCAGTTATCAATTTTTTTCATCAGTTTTGGACCGTTATAGTGTTTTACAATAATGTTACAGTATTTTATTAAGGTTCTGAAAATGTTATAGGTGACATCAATAATGACTACTACAATATCTTGTAATTAGTTTGGCTGATGTTGGGAGTCTATTTAGATCATATCTAATGTTTTTAAGTAGACTTAATAGTGTTTTTTGTTGTGGTAGCTCAAAGCATTATAATAAATCAATGTTTTATTTATTTATTTATATTTGGGTGTTATAAATATATATATTTGAATCCTAATATAACATATCAAGTGATTTCTAGTTTGTTTAGATTCTATTTAGTTCATTAATAATGTTTTTCAATAATATTATAGTGTTTTTATTGAGGTGTTGAAAATAATATAAAATTATTTAAAAAAAAAAAAAACTAAAAGTGATATTATATTGTATCTTTGATTGTTTGATACAATAGATGAAATTATATTTTAAATATACATTTATATAAACATTGCTCGGTAAAATTATATTTAAAAAATTCGTTGAATATTATGTGATAAATTTAACCATACTAATATATTTTAATATTTTATTTTAAAATAAATAAATTTTTTATTTAAATAATAAGTAAATAATATAAAAATAAATAAAATGAATGCACATAATTTTACAATAAATGAACATAAAATAATATTAAAAAATAAAAAAATATTTTATAGATGACAACTCACTAAATCATGTCATTACATTAAATGAGGATTAGAGTTGTGTTATATATAGTGATAATTTTGTGATTTAAAAGAAAGTCATAAAGTGCTTTGTGAAACTTAAAAAAATTCATTAACATCTCTTAAATACTGAAATGCTAATAATGATATCCAAAAATAATATAAGGATTTACACAATATAGCATCCAAGCTAAACATGATTCAAAAGAAACTTTACCAAGCAACAATCTATATTTGGTGTGCATCATTTAATTTTAGGATTGAAGGTAGAAGAGATTATGATCCCATTTGCATCCAATTATTGTATTTTTCAAATGAACTTTATAATATTTTTATTATGGTGGCCAAAATATTATAATTGGCAGAAAAAATACTATTCCGGTATTCCAAATACAGGTCCCATTCAAGGAAAAAAACAAAAACAAAAAAAAACAAAAACAAAAAGGGACAATTTTTGGAGAAATCGCCTTAAAAAAAATTAAAATTAAAATATGGGGAAAAAAAATCACCATCAAAGAAAAAGCTTTCTCGCCCAAACTCCATTTCTCCGTCCTCTCTCATGCGGCGCACTACATATACACACGCAATTCTCAGAACACTTCACCTGCCATTTCTTCCGCTGCTGAGCTCATAAAACACATCGAGGAGGAGAATCCCAGACTTATGTCCGGAACAGTGCAGTCGATGGGTGGCGTCGGCCGGTTGTCCCTGACGACGGCCACCGGGATCATGGTCGCCGCGGTCATCGCCTTTTTACTGATCTTTGTCCTCGCCTTCTTCATGTACCTCCGCGCCAAGCACTGCTGGGGCGCCATCCCGGTCTCCCGCGGCGCCCCTGCCTCCTTGGCCTCCGCGCCGCGGCTGCGCGGCCTCGAAGTTCCCGCCGTCGCCGCGCTCCCTTCGGTGCTGATCCGCTTCGGGGGCTTGAAGGATTGCGCCGAGTGCGCGGTCTGCCTCTGCGAGCTGTCGGAAGGCGACGCCGCGCGGCTGCTGCCCAAGTGCGGCCACGCCTTCCATGTCGAGTGCATCGACATGTGGTTCCTATCCCACTCCACCTGTCCGCTCTGCCGCAGCTCGGTGGATCCCGAGGTTGCCGATCGCGACGCTCGCTCATCGGAATCATCGCCGGATTCTGCGGCGAATGTGCTGCTTTGTGCCTCGGACGATCAGGTTAATGGCCCAAGTTCTCTCGCGAGCTCCAGCACTTTGAGCTCTTCTTCTTCAGAGGAAGCATCGGTGATCGAGATACCGAGGAGAGCGGTGGACGGGTTCCAAACTCCGAATTCGCCATTGCCCGTGAGAAGTCTCCCAGAGGAAGAGACCAGATCGCCCACAGCACCGACGTCGAGATCACAGGGATGTTATACGGGGACGAGTTCACGAATGGCTGCCGCATGATGCAGAACGTATGCTTCACTGAGTCTGTCGAAAGGTTTAGCATCAACATTTCCATTAGATTTGCACAGGTAGTAAGTAGTCGATCTATGTCATGTCAATTAGGAATTCCATAACAAGGATGAAAACAAGTGCATGTGCATATGTTTTGCCGATTGTAAAGAAAGGCATTTGGGGGTATTTTAGAAGCTTGGAAGCAGACAATTCTTTCATATATATATATATAATATATATAATATATATATAGTTTCTGTGTGAATTTGTTGTTCTCTTAATTTTAATTCATCCATGTCAAAAAATTTGAGCTTTGGGTTCTCCATCTATTCTATCTATCTATTGCTCATCAGAGGCTCATACTTCAATAATGATTGATTGATTGATTGATTGATTGGGTACAATGCAAGAATGAATGCATTTGATACTACCAATGACCTCTCGGCCACAGTGCTGATGAAATCTATAGAAACTTCATTAGTCTCTTTTTGGCTTTCGTTCTCTTATGACTGGTAATTTCATGGTTCATTCAACTAAGCCATGTATAGATTGTGATCTATGCCAACAAAACCCAAATGAACATTTAGGTTCCGATTTCTGGTGAGTCCAAATTGCACTTCACTTCTTGCTCAGGAATGATGAAAGAGCTCAATTTTGAACTAGGGTAGATGATCTAGTCCAAATTGCATTTCACGCGCCAGACTATCTGCTTTCGTGCGTCTGACTGTAAAATCATATTAGCATCCCTTTATTTTTTTGTGCCTTAAATAAATATTTTATTGAGTTGATATTTATTTTATTGAGTTGATATTTAAATAAATAAAATCGAATAGAAATTTATTTGATATTTATTTATTTATTTATTAAGAATCCAAGTTCTAATGAATTTTGGGTGGAATAAATAGAGATAGAGATGTATCTATTTTTTTTAACAAGCAATGAATTATTATTCAATCTTTTGACAAACCTTAGGAGGTCGATCTTCTCGAAGTGATCAAAGAGGTCGATTCCCTCAAAGTGATAAAATCCTGGGGTCTTATCATTCGATTCCCTCAAAGTGATAAAATCCTCGATGTTCTAATTGTAATTTCTCACAACACTTTGCCAAGTTATCATCATCATCATTAAAAAAAAAAAAAAAGGGTGAAGCTAACAGCCACATTTTTCTTGAGCGAGAAAGGGCCCCTGCTTCCAGCCAACGACAACTGTCGCCGCTACTTCCATGCCAGCGACCACCCCCCATCGTTGCACCACAATCGTCGTCCAACTGTGCACATCCCATCGTGCTGAAGCGAGAAAGTGTCACCGTCGTAATTCCCAGCCACCGGACCACCCCACTCATCACTCCTAGCCTCGGCGATCCTTGGTTGCTCCCAGCCCTAATTGATGCTGCTTCGCAGCCACACCACCACTGCTGCCTCTTGACCTCGACAGCAACCTCCCCTCCTTGTGGAGATCGAAGCAGGGCAACTCTGCATCTTCTACCGTTGCCGTCGGTCACCACTATTTCCTCCCCTTTTACTACTGCTTCCTGGCCAGTGACCATCATAGACGTTGCTTCACCACTGTTGCCTCTCGACCTCGGCAGTAACTTCCCCTCCTCGCGGTGATCGAAATAGGGCAACTCTGCATCTTTTGCCACAACTGTCATTCACCATTGTTTCTCCCCTTTTGCTATTGCTTCTCGGCCAGTGACCACCACCGCTGCTGTTTTCGACCAGCGACCACCACCCTCGTTCTACCACAACCACCCTCCAGCCATACACGTAGCAACCGTAATAAGCCTTTACGCTGCCCTACCTCAACCCCGACCACTCGTCGATTGCTCCCTTTGGGTCGCAGCAACCATAACCACACACGTAGCTGCCCTCAATCACTCCCCACGCCGACGTTCTCGCCATCAAGCCCCTGTAGCCTCACCCCATGTAGCGACAGAAACAGGGCAGCAACCTTTCCTCCTCGTAGCGACCGCAACAAGCCTTTATGTTGCCCGCAGCGTCCGCTTCCTCGCTAGGTTCATGTTCCCTTATGTCCTCAACGTTGCTCTGGGCTAAACTTCACAATAGCTGCACCAAATAGTACAGTACTGATGCCTTTGACCCAACATCAGAAATAACAGTTGAAGATTACAGATCTGCAGTCTTACGCAATGGCTAGTGACAACTGAGTGAAAGCCCAATTAGAAGCTTTGAAAATTAGAATTGAAAATCGATTGCAAGAAACCCTTAATGATTTAAAAAGATTCTATTGAAGAGCTTTAATAAGTTTCAACAAGATGAAAGCTCAAATCTTACTTTAACTGATATGGAGATACAAAGAAAAGGAACTAAGAATAAGACATAAGATATCCATACATGAAGGTGAAATTTTCAAGATGGGAAGATGGAGATCTGACCAGTTAGATCTCTAGGGTAGAATTTTTTTTTTTTCTATTTTCACGGAACTCCAAAAGAATCCAAGGTGAAAATAGCTTCAATCTAACTAGATGTAGATGCAATCCAATGGTATGATTGGTATGAAACCTAGGGTACCCTTATGAGAGCAATTCAAGAGAGGACTTCTCATTCGCTTTGGACCATCTGAATATGAGAATGTTGATGGGCAGCTCACTAAAATTTGTTAGATTTATACAGTACTAGAATATCAGAACATATTTGAATGATTGTTAAATCAAACTAGAGATTGATCCGAACAACAACTAGTAGGAACATTTATTGAAGGACTTGATCCAGATATTTGGTATGAAGTCAAAGCTTGCCAACCCTATACTATGGCAACTACAATCTTGTTTGCACGTTTGCATTAGAACAAAATCAGTAGAAAAAATCATCAAAATAGAAGTGACAATAAATATATGATCAACAAGCCACCCGCTCCATTTATTCCCAACTGAAACCCTGACACCCGAAGGCTAGCCCGAGAAGAACTTAAGGAATAATCAATGAAGGGTTTGTGCTGGTACTGTGACGAAAAGTGGAGTAAGGAGCACCGATATAAACAAGGGCAATTTACGATGATTGAACCAATTGGGGAGAAACCAGAAGCTAACAATATGGACTCCGATCATGAAGGTATGTATTTTGATGAAGATGTTGAACCTATCATACATACAATATATGTATTAGCCGGCTACTCTAACTCACAAACTATGAAAGTTGGAGGAATTTTAGAATATCAGTATATTATAGTTTTGATTGATACTAGTAGCACTAACCAATAAAATATTATAGGTGGAACTTTATAAATAGGGATATATCTATTTTTTTCGATAAGTAATAAAATATTATTTAGTCTTTTGATAAATCCTAAGAGAACGATCCACTTCAAGTGATATATATATATATATATATATATATATATGTTATAATTTTAGGCTCTTATCAAAACACGTTGAGATGCTGTTTGGTGATAGAATGAAAACTAACCAAAAGGCTGCTTACTTATGGTCAGGCCTCACCGGATAAGTAGCTTGAGTGGGACGAGGCTACCGGATGGGAAGGGAAGAATGTTATGCAAGCAAGAGACTTTTTCCCTCCCATTTGTCACTTTATTGATGTGGATAGATGAAAGCGATTGGAAATATTCCTGCTGGCGTATGTCAGACTGTTCTATCATAATTAGCTCATTGACCAGAGGATACACATTTTGATGTTGTCCGCAACCCGTCGGTGGTTTCCATCATAAAATACATCACTACAATGACTGATGTTGCATGAACCTAACTTCTATAGTCATTAATCGAGCAATCGATTTTTCTCACACCAGCAATCACTTCTTTCTTAATCGACAGTGACCGTATTGTTCACATCTTTGTTATAGCTGCACCGATGCTTTTTGCTCCTACTAAAGATATTGCTTATAACATGCTTTTATCATGTCTTCTCTGCTCTAGTGTTCAGTTATATGATCGAGTTGTATCGAACATGTTGTTGCTCGTTCCACTTCGTCGGATCGTCCAATTTATGCAACAGTTATCAAGCTTAAATCATTTGGTTACATCAAGATAGTTCTTTTGCTACTTGTTTTTCACTGTTCGATGAATTGGATGGGCAAGATTTTTAATAGACACTGTAATTTTCCATCACACAAAAACAACCCTTCAAGCAATGCTTGCAATTTTTTTTTCTTTTCAGTACCGATATGCACATTTCAACTTTTTACGATGAATCAACTTGTGCTTTTCGAGTCTTGTTTTTTACTTACACTATTCTTCTCCAAATTGCTTTTGATCTCGGATTAATAGTTTTTTTGAATCCTAGCTTTCTGGATTTGCAAGTCGGAAAGGGTGTCTTTTCCTTCTTTTAGAAGGTTAATGATAGGGCTTATTTTGGGTCTAAGACAAGTCATACCTAGTGTCACACGTCAAGTCAGAATCCGTATTAAGTTGTTGCTTGGCATGTCTCGGATTTCCCGAGATGGCACTGCCCCCAAGACACGACAAGTTAGAATCCGTACCAAGACACTGTTTGGCACGTCCACCATGTTAACCCGTATACGATCGACCCTTGGACAATAGTATAAAGACTTCTGGCCGGCATCCGGCTCAGGGGGAGAAAAACAATTCCACAAACAATTGATTTGCTCGTTAGAGGGGCCACAGTCGGGAATCACTCGACGAAGGCCTTTTTTACAGGTAGGTAGTCACCCCGAGCCACGAGCGCCTCGACCAGGAAATCGCCACCCAGTGAGGGAGGTCGAGCTGTCAGTTATCTCGGGAACAGAGAGACGTAGCTCGACGCTGACGGTGCTCGAACCAAAAAACGCTGACCAACACCCCGTTGCGAAGGCCTGACTTACCTGGGTATCCAGCTCAGCCAACAGAGAACTCCCGACATTGACCCGTGGACCTAGCTATGCTGACTCGTCAACCATGACATCTTTGTTCACCAACAGCTAATATATTCAATATTAATTCTGTACCAACCCTTGACATTATCATTCCGAATTCATGTGGCCACTGAAACCCCCATGAAGCTGTAAATTCTATGATGCCAATGGACAAGCCCACAACAGCTTCGAGATATTATACAGAGTTTATATCAGGGACAGGAATCAGCGTCATATGGCTTTCTCAATTTTCATGTGGCACAAAGTATGAAGCCAATAAAACAAATTATTATCTTGGATTAGGAATCGGAATACGTTCCTACCTGAGAGGTGCCTCATATCCTTCTCCTTCTCCCAGATTTACTGTTGCTGCTT